TTAGAGGATTTTTTATTAAAGTGTCCATTGCGCAATGACTTTTAAATTCACATTGTGTGACTGCTCTTACCCCAGCTTGGCCAAGAATGTTCAGCCTGAGGATCCTGAAAAGAGTCACATTATCCTTGTCTAATATATATTGTAGTTTAGAAAGTTGCAGTTGCTTGAGGTTGTTTTTAAACTTGTAGCGGTTTTTGATGCCATTATAATAGTGTCCTGCTCTCATGCAACAAAAGCATAGTAGAATTTCAAGCAAGGCATATAGGGAAACTGGCCAGCACGTTCAGTCTTTTGGGGGGTGGAGAGAAAAAAAATGAATGATTAGAACTACCAGCCTCAACCTCTTCCTAGCTTCAGTCCTAAGTACTGTTTGAACCATTAGTGCTTTGTTCAAATAGTATCAATTTTTAAAAACTTCCTAGTTTGAAAGCACTATGAAAATTACAAAATGCTTGAGCAATTGAAAATAAAGCAAAGAAGTCAATTTGGGGATGAAAGTGGTGTCTCAATGGAAAGATGAAAAATACCCCACACAAAATAACAATTTAAATAGAATTATAGAAGCTAATAGCATCATATTAAATAATGAAGCCTCCAGTGCTCACCTAATTCATTCAGAACCATGAGCAGAATGCTTACAATCACAGCTGCTACTTACCATTATTCTGAAGTTCCAGCCAATGTGATACAAAAGAGCCATAAGAAAGTTTAAATATTGTCACGGAAGAGAGATTATTCCATTATTTATGTACATTGCGATTGTGTAACGAGAAAATTCAAGAAATTTATTTTAAGTAATAAAAGTTGTGGTTGGGTAGTTGGATGCAGTGTACATATGTGATAGTTTTCCTTTATATCAGCAATAAACTTAATAATATACTATTAAGGGGGACTATCCTATTTATACATGTCTCCAAAACTATAAAATACCTAGGAATAAATTTAACAAGAAATGAGAATATAAAAAGAAAACAATAAAATTTTACTGAAAGACACAGAGCGAGACCCGAGTCACTGGTGAAGAGATACACCAGCTTCGTGAAATCATGCCGTGCCAAGCCCCACACGACACAGCAGGCCGTCACGTGATGCCGCTGCATTCAGTGTTGTTAGAACACTGGTGAGAAAAACACGAGTTGCATGGAGTTTGCATGTCTCCCCGTGTCCGTTGGGCCTCCAGCTACACCAGCTTCCCCCCAGACATGTACTCTTTGGGTGCACTGGTGCGTCTCAGTTTCCTGGAGGGGCATCCGGTCCAGGGTCGGTGCCCATCTTGCACGCTGAGCTGCCAGCTTACACTTCAGCCACCAGAGACTCTGAACCGGAGTAGCAGGTTGGAGAGTGAATGAATGACTTGAAGTGATTGCTTAAATTTTGCAAAGGTTTTGGGTCTTTATTTTGAAGTTTGGCGATGTTTTTGTGACCAGAAATATTCTGAGGGGACTTAGAATCTTGTTTATTTCGATTAACCTGTGTTAAACTTGGCTTCACTAAACATCGTTTGACTTCAAGGCAGTTTCCAAGAACCCCTTGATGATGTTGAGGACTCACTGTGCTCCCCAAGTCTGCAGTGCGCCGCACCCTGCTATCCTGCAGCTAAAAACAGTCCGGACGATGAGCTTTGGGCTTGACTTAGTATCAGCACTTGTCTAAATACTAGGATAAATTTATGAGGACAGACAGGAAAAGGTTTAAATGGTACTACTGGATGACCTGTCTAATTCTAGATATCAAAACAAGGAAATCCTGGGCCTCCCTGGTGGTGCAAGGGGTTAAGACGTAGCACTATGAAGCATGCTGCAGCCACTACAGCACAAGTTTAATCCCCGGCCAGGGAGCCGTGGTGCAGCAGACCTCTCCTGTCTCCCCACTTCTCTCCTCAGCAGTGTATTTCAGTAGATCTGACCCACTCAGTCTCTGGTGAATCCACGCCTGTGGCCTACACCCCAGTTCTTATATGCATAAATAAATCTTAAAAAAAAAAAACAGGGCCTCCCCAGTGGCGCAGCAGGTTGAGCGCAGCACTGTGAAGCTATCTGCAGCCTCTGCAGTGCCGTTCGATTCCTGGCCGGCTGGCGAGGGTCCTACATGGCGCGGCAGACCTCTCCTGTCTCCCCCTCTGCTCCCCTCAGCAGTGTATTTCGGTCCTTCTGCCTGTTCTGCTCCCTGCTCTGTCTCTGGTGGATCCTGTCACCCTCCCACGCCTCTGGCCTGTATCCCAGTGCTTGTATAAATAAATAAAATAAAGTAAAATAAAACACACAAAATCCTGAGAAGAAATCCTAAGTGTTCTCATCATAAGGAGAAAATCCTTTTCCCTTTCTTTGGTATCTAAATGTGAACATGCTCATCAGCTGAACCTGTATGTGTCATCACGTCACAGTGTATTAATCCTGATGCTGTGTGCCTTAAACTGACACAGTCATGCTCGTCAATTCCTCAGTAAAAACGGGGGACTGTTAGGATCTACTGTGTTTTTTTTAAAAAAAAACACAAGGTAATAATGCATGGTAATAGAGAACTGATATCAAAATAGCACCCGAGAGTGTCCTGTGGTGTATTTATCCCATTATATGTAGAATAGTTTGATAAAGATGACATTAATTCAGTGATGCGTGGATGTCCAAAAGGGAGAGTTGTATTAAATCATCACTTGTTATATTGTTTAATAAATACTATTGGAAAAATGTGAGGTCTAGGAGAACTGCCCCACATTAGGTTAATTGGAAAGGTCAGACTAAGACTATCTTGAGCACCAAGCCTTTCACGTTGGAGGCCAAGGACATTGGTGAAGATTGCTGTGTTTGAGGCCCAGGACTTAAGGAACCTGTCTCAGATATTGGTGAGGCGGATGGGAATACCGCAGTGTTCAGTGCCTGACTTTTGCCAGTATAATAAGCATTACAAAATAGTGAGCTGCATTTAGCATTTTCCTTTTTAATACAATAGCCATATTTTTATCAGCCATTTTACCAGTCAGACCCAATCCAGACGAAAGGCGAGGCTTTGTATTCCAAGAGCAGCAAAGCAGAGAGGTGGCAAATTGAGGGTTTGGTCTTAGTTCATGCAAAATGAGAGTTAGGCCAAACCTTAGAGTCAGCACCCTCTGGGCCCTGGGGTGGGGGGCAGATAGGGGGCAGGTGCTGGAGAACTCTTGCTGAGTTTTTTTTTTGTTACCTTTTCCCTACAAAATCCGCTTTCCTGGGCGTGGCAAGGGCAGAGCACATCTGGCCCGTGGATGTAAGTTAGGACGCCATGTCAAGTACCTGATTGGTTTTCTTCTTCACATCAAATGTTCTAAAAATACCTTTCTAATAACATTAATTTTAGACAAAGGAAAAAGTTGTTTTGAAAATAAGCCAAAGGAAAGCCTCCTTTTCAAGGCCAGTTGGTTTAGTTTGTGTTTTTTTGCAAATGTCAGCATGAGCCAGTGGTGTTTTCAATGTGTCCTCATTAGTTCTGTTAAATCGAATCCTTTAAAGATCCAATTCCCCCAGACGGGATGGGGGTGGTATTAGCTTAACCCCCTGTCACACATACCAATGAAGGAGAGACTAGGACAGCACAGGTACCTCTGTGCCCCAAGATAGTGCTGTGGAACCGTGAGGGTAAGGTTGCATCTGTGACCCTAAATGTGAGTGTGATGGTGGGGGCTGCTGTTTCCTGAGAGTGGCCAGGCTGAGCGGGATGGGCTGGTGCTGGACCATCACAGAACTGACCTTAAGAGACACCAGTTGGTCTGTGTGACACAACTGGGACACCAGCAGGTCCCCTCTTTATTCCAAACAGAATTGGGGCCAGTGACCAACTCAGAGCAGCACATACATTCACGCCTCTATGTTGGTGCAAAAACACAATCACATGTCTCAGGAAGCAATACTACCTGAGTATTGTGATGTAGCCTAATATTTTCTATCCTGTTTTTCTTTTTAAATTCTGATTGCAAAATAGTGAATTGATTGTTGTGCTGCCCTTGTCCACTTGGATTTAGTAAATAGATGGTGGACTCCTACAACTGTCAAGCTTACAGTGCTTACCTCCTGTCTCAACCTCTCTCTAATACAAGTTGTCATGCCAGGAATATTGGTGTATTTGGTTTGTGTTCAAGCTCAGTAATCCTCACTGCTCTTTCGGGGTTTCTTACACCTGCAGAAAAAGCTATAACAGGGATTTCGATGTGTTTTTCCCCCAGGGGAATCTTTAAGATAAAATTGATTTATCTTTTGATTTTTACACTGTTTACCTTCTAATCTTTAAGATAAAATTGATTTACCTTTTGATTTTTACACTGTTTTCCTTCTTGGGTTTGTTTTTGTAAACTGCTCAATGAAACCTAGAATTTGTTTCTGTTGCAAATCATCTCCCCATAGTGCGGTTCTCAGGAGTTGGTGCTAGAACAGCTCTGCCCCTCCCAGATACCCTCTGGCCAGGACTTTGGCACCCCTTCCCCACATTGCACTCCTATTCATTGTAGACAGAAGGGTTATATCCCTGGTCATGACATTGCACCAGTGCTGATGCTCCCCACAAGAAGATGGGAACTATTTGGATAGCGGGTGGGTGGATTTAATTCAGTTGCTTTTTTTTTTATATAAGGGAGGTAAAAATAACATGTGTAATTCAATTTTCATTTAAACTTTTTTCCCCCAGAATTAAATTTTCCTTTGGTCAACATCATTTTATAAACCAAGAGGATTAAGGATGGTTCCAAATAATGTGAACCAGTGTCTGTAACTAATTAACTCTGTCGAGGAAGGAAATTCTGGGACCGACACCGAAGCCCACTTAAATGGCATTGCTGGTGTTTTCAAAGTTTGTCTTAACACCAGAAACAGATGATGGGTCAAGTGGATCTTTTACAATTTTCTTGGTTTATTTCCTTTTCCCCAGCAAATTCCCATTAAATTTCTCATGTGTTCTACACAACAAACTTACCTCCCTGAATATGTGTAAACATTGCCATTGTCAAAAATGTATGGAAGAGAAGAGCTCCATGCAGATTAAATAATATGGGGTTTTTATTGGTTCTTCCTCATGACGTCTCTTAATACGTGCCTCATTGATCCTCTGTACTCTAGGAGAATTTGGTCCTAAGACATTTCATAAAACCAAGGAGGATCATCGATTAAATAGGCAAATGCATCTGAATAGAAAAGTTCTAATTTTTCTATGAATTTCATAAAATTAAGATGACCTGGACCCTCAAGATCAATATGTTCTAAACCAAATTCAGTTTCATTTTCAACTCTAGCGATACTGCTCAGCGTCCCTCCTAATTCATTTAATGATTCATCCTGGTTTACTTGTCCCCTGTTGGATTATCAGAAAAGTCGTGACGCATTTTTGCTTGAAAAACAAAAAAAATGAAAAAGTCATGACTTTTCTGACAACCCAATAGTAACTGAGAAAATAATTAAATTCCTCAAAGGGTGGCCCCACCTGGAGCTCAAGTTCAAAATTCATGTCTTTCTGTGACTTTGAACTCCATTGTCCTCACGTTTCTCTGCAGACAGCTGCCCTTCCATAGACATGTTTACATGGGACAGAAAAAGGCAGTTTGTAGAATCTCATTTCCTTTTCCTCCAGTGCCGGTCAGGAATCACAGCCCACCGAGCTTCAGTGTGAGGTCTGGTCCAGCATCGCTGTCCCTTGCTTCTTCCTGTACAAAGGTTTTATTTTTATTTATGTGTCATGAGAAAGTGAAGTGCTGGCTGCATGAAAGATAGTTTTATTTCTCCCTCTGTTTATAAGAAATTCTTTTGAGGATTAAGTTTGCAAAATCTGCCCGGTGCAGACATATTTTATCTCCACCCATTTTGCACTATACAGATTGCAAGACTCGTTCTTGTGTGAGACCTCTAATGGCCCATAAATCCAAGTTCATGTCAAAGGCAATGGGGGACTCATATGTTTTGTGCTTGATCTATGTGTTTGCTGCATGTATTGTGGAAAGAAAAATTATTGCCACTATGAAGTGCCTATGAAATCTAAAAGTTCTCATTTCTGAGGACACCTGGAGTACACGAGGCCCTCGTGACATAGCAAGGTGGAAATTCTATTTGCAACTCTGGTGACAGCTTTCAGACAGAGCAAGTAGCCAGAAACTCAAGGAAAAATGATCTTGATGCCTCATTTAACTCCATCTCTGAGTTCAAGGAGGGTTGTCCCTGGTGTAAAAGTAAAAATGAGAATTTCAGGCCTAAAGTGTTTGTTGCCCTCCCCACTATGTGCTCATGGTGATGACAGGAGTGTGCAGTTTGGGGAGGGCGGGAGACCCCCAGCTAGAGCATTGGAGTTGCATGAGTGTCCCCAACCTCTTGAACGGGCAGGTGAAGTCTGGAGGAGGTAGGAAATCAAGCCTTGGGGTGTGACCCACCCAGTTGGAAGGTGGTGAATACTCCCAGCCCCTGGGGGCACATCTGGGTCTCAGGAGGGCAGATTGCTGAACAGCATCCTCTGCCTGGGCCTGCGGGCACTGAGTAGAGACCCAGGAGAGCTGGTCCTCGGAGCCACCTCTTTGTTAACTGGTCGACTCTTGTCATTGCCTGAGGCTCAGCGACCCTGACGTGCAGACCAAGAGCTAGGAAGGGATCATGATTCCTGGATGAGTTGCCCCAAGAGAAAAAAAACGATCTCTAAATTCAGTGAAGGGAGGTGGGGCAGGGGAGGGACGTCATGATGGAGGAGAATCCATATGTCAGAATATTGAAGCACAAGGTGTTAAGATTGTCCTTGGAAGCAAAATTTCCAAGCAGTTCAACTAGAGAAATGCTGGTCTTCTGATGGCTTGTGAGTCCATGGAAGTGGGTTCGGTCAGTAATGTACTAGAAGCCTGTGGCTGCCCAGAAATTAATGAGAAACAGAATTGAATTCTTATGTCCTTGCCTACAGATAGACAAAAAATGTCACGTACCCAAGGGAATTCCAGTGAGAGGGGAGATCGGAAAGGGGCTCTTTCTCATTCAGTCACTCATCTTGCTCACCTCAGTCTATTAAACAGGGGCCGGTGCCTGCTTCCTCCCTGTTGGGAAGAGAAGGACACGTGATCTCACAGGCGCCCAGCACGGTGCAGAGGCTTATTCGTTGCTAATGAGAAGGTGGCCCCTCAGTTCTGGGCTATATGTGTTATATCAGATGCGCTCCCCAGTGGAAGGCCAGTGCAGAGAGTTCCACAGTATGGGTGATAGCTGGTGGGTGCACCGTGGTGTTAATACCCGGCCGGCGTACCCCAGTATTACCTAATAAAATAAGAGATAGAATGTGTTACACAGAAAGCGGACCTCTGGGCGGGGCCTCGGCAGGATGTGGACACCAGGGTGTGCTCTTGCCTCAAGCTCACCTGCTTGGCTCAGGGAGACCAGAGAATGTTACCTAGAGCTAGACCTCAAGTCCTCTCTGTACCTGTCAAATCTTATGAACCTTTATTTTTTAGCGCTCCTTATGGGGCAGAGAGGTTCTTGTTTGGTTTGTTTTTGAACATGGATGATTCATGTTTTGTTTTGAAGATGATTACTTTTAAATCAGAGTCCTAAGGCCACTGCAGCTTGTGCATGTGCAGTAAGCTGGGGGCAGGGTAGGATAATTCCAGTGTAGAAATCCTCTCTTTGCCGCCTAAAGAATTCCAGGGGCCTTGTGTGTGCCTGGCTAGTCACTGTGTAGAGCTGGCTGCCTGACGGTCCTGCTTCTTCTGACCCCCCAGTAGAAACCAGTGCTCTGCTTCCTGTGCTGGTCACTAACAGGATTTGTCCAAAGAGTCAGCCTTGCCCGGCCCTGACCCACTGACCTTCCTTTGGGAGCAGACTGTGTTATGAAGTTTGACTCAAACCACACTATCAAATCACTATCTGGCTGCCCCTCTGCTTACACTTGGAAGAGTATCAGTCAGCATTTCCTGTTTTCATTCATGTCATAAGTTGAATAGCTTTAACAAAAATAAAAGGCTGCCAAGACAAATCAGGTGGCAGAGCACAGGTTTTCTTGCAAGCCTTCTTCAACATGCCGCCATTAGAAGGCTCCATCACGAGCTTTTCAGGAAGCTCCGTCGGAGGGAATGTGCTGGCTTCAAGACTCAAGAACAAATCTAGATTAAATCCAACAACAAATAAGAATCACATTCTAGACCTTTGACACTCAGCTGCATGTTCCTCTCCTGGGGTCCACCAAGCCACCCTTGGCTATAGTCAGCATCTTTGTCACCAGGGTACCCTGAGGCAGCGATTGCTGCTGCTATAAACACTGGTTTTGACCACTGCAAATAAAATCTCTAAACCTGTCCCAATATGGTATAGAGGAGGAATAGCTTTTACTTCTTTACATCCTCTATGTTACTTGTTCAAAGAAAATGTAATCAGGGATGAAATGACTTATAGCTAAAGTCATTCCAAACTGAATGCTTTTAAAGGAATATTTTTTAATTAATCAAAAGCATATCAACAGTCAAACATTTATGTCTTCTGGCCCCATACCTCCTCCCTTGGGAATTTATTCCAAGAATATAATTTGAAAGAGGTTAAAGTTCACATGTACAGATATTTTGCAGCATTATTTATGTTGGAAACAGCCCAAATGTCTCATCACAGTGGGGGGAAAGATTTTGTAAATCTTGGTCTATCAACTTTACAAAATTGTAAGCTGCCACATATAATCATAAATTTTAAAAGTTTGTAGTACAGCAAGAGAACTGTGATCACTTCACAGCAGAGCAGTAGAGTATAAAATTCTACATTTACTATTAAAATTACATAGGCATATGAAATTCGAAAAGGCACCCACAAACAAATAGACAAACTGGTCAGTGTATTATCTTTGTCCGTGTTTTTGTTGCCCATCCGCTCTGCCACAAATTTTGGCCTTGGTGCATATCAGTATAGAGTGTGGATATGAGGACTTTCCATGATATTCTTAAGTGTTCCTTTCTTTTTATTATTATTATTAAAGATCTATTTACTTAGTCATACAAGAGCTAGGGTATAGGCCAGAACTGTTGGGGGTGGTGAGAGGATTCACCAGAGACATAGTGGGGAACAGAACAGACAGATCTACTGAAATACACTGCTGAGGGGAGCAGTAGGTGATACCGGAGAGGTCTGCTGCGCCATGTGGGTTGCTCCTTAGTCCAGGATCGAACTCATGCTGCAGTGACTGTGGATTGCTTCATAGGTTGCGTCTTAACCCCTTGCGCCACCAGGGAGGCCCACTGCTCCTTTCTTAGAGCAGTGCCCTTCTCAAATTTTCGTGTCTAGTCACCTCATCTGGGAATCTTATTAAAATGCTGGTGCTAGTTCAGGAGATGTGGATCCAGCTGGGAATCCTTCGTTTCTAATGAACTACCAGGTGCTGTTGGTCCTAGAATCTTCTTTGTGCTTGAAGATGCTGTCCAGTGTCGGTAGCATTCTCTTGGAGGGCAGTGTTGGGTATTCTGTCTGCTACATTCACACTTGCCATTACATTGCTAGTAATTGATGGGGGATCCTCTGTGGCTAGGAAATAAGGTGCTATTTCATATTGAGCCTGATGGCAGCTTAAGCCACTGAAAAACCTTGAATTTTGTCAATCAACAAAAATGACCAGGTGGGACTAAAATGGGTGATGTTACATATGTTTCATTTTTTTTTAAATTTATTTATGCATACAAGAACTGGGGTACAGGTCAGAGATGGGGGGTAGTGGTGAGAGGATTCACCAGAGACAGAGCGGGGAGCAGAACAGGCAGACTGACTGAAATACACTGCTGAGGGGAGCAGCTGGCGAGGCAGAAGAGGTCTGCCTCGCCATGTGGGTCAGCTCCCTGGCTGGGGATCAAACTCATGTTGCAGTGGCTGCGGATAGCTTCACAAGTTGTGTTTTAACCCCTTGCGCCACCAGGGTGGCCCCGTATGTTTTAAAGAAAGGATATGGCATTCATACTAGTTAGTAATATCCTTTAATTCAATTTGAAAACCTTTTAAAAAGTTGAAAACTCCATCTGTGTTAAGAAGGGCATTGTTGTGAGTTACTGTACTGGAAGAAAAATCTTGGTCTTGGCAGTGAATCCTTCCAGCATCGTGGTGTGAAGCAGAGTAGAGTCATCTTTTTAGGGAACGGAAGGAAGCCAGACCTTCTCCATGTCCGTGGGAAAAGCACTTTATGAACAGGGTGTGCTGGCATGGAATGACCTGGCGCTGTGGGAGAGCTAAGTTAGCCTTTCCATCGGAGCCACACCAGTGATCACCAAAACCTACTGTTGTGTTCAGAGGGTAATAGCAGGTTTCCAATTTGATTCTCCACAGTCACTGAAGCCGGATTTGGTGCCGACATTGGAATGGAGAAGTTCTTCAACATCAAGTGCCGGACTTCTGGGCTGGTGCCCAATGTCGTGGTGTTGGTAGCCACTGTCCGAGCCCTCAAGATGCACGGAGGTGGGCCGAGCGTAAGTCCTGGTTTTAAGTTAAGAAGTGTTGGAAACATTAAACCTGCTTAGTCACTACAGCTTTCTATATCTGTAAAAAAGCTCTCCATTTTTGTAAGTTACGGTTCTGGGCCACTTAGAGCTGACAGTTAAGTCCACATAAATAGGAACACCCAGAGTTATATCCGCAACATTCTGGAAAGGACCAAATATAACCACTTTTCTATCCATTCATTTCTGAAACTTCAATCAACCTCTTGTAACCCTGGGTGTTGGGAGGGTGGAGACTCTCGTTCCTGGGCAGGGAGCACGGGAGCAGTGAGTGCTCAGTGGCTGAGGTTTTCCAGTGTTTGTGAATTAGCTTTTTTTTCCATTTCTGACTCTCCTCAGATACCACCTAGAACTATTTTTCTTCATTCTGATTTCACTTTATAACTCTACCACTAAGTTTATTTCTAAGAGCTATTTTTACTGTCTCATCCTCTGATAAAATGACCATAATCATTAGAGGTCAGGATGCATCCTTTCGGATTTCTCTAAGAACTGTTCTTGAAACAATTGCTGCGTGCCACAGTTGAAACAAAACAGCAGAGGGATTTTTCTGTAGTGGCTAATTGCTCTGACCCCATTTTAAAGTGGCTCCGTTCATGTGAGCCTTTCATATTATTTAGCAAAAACAAACAGGTTTACCATCACCAACATCACAACGTGCATTGTGAAACCATCTTTGTCCTAGGAGAGGCAGAGAATTGAATAGCACTTTACAGATGCCGAAGTGGAGTTTCAGTGGGGTTAGGAAATCTGGGCAGTGTCACATCCAAAGCCTGGGACTTAGCTCCAAATCTTCTAACAACTTTGAACTCCAAATCTCTTTATAATATGGAACATTTAAACACTAAATTTTAGTCTAAAGCCTCATTATTGCAAGCTGATGCAACTTTTTATAAGGAAGAATTCAGATTTTGCTCAAAACATTTGTCTATACTCACTCTTTGACTCTATGTGTATATCAGCTCCCATTTTAAAAAAAAAAAAAAAACTAATATACTTTTATGTGTTACATATTGCACTGAAATTTTCCCTCCCTGTTGTGTACACTGAGAATTATAAAATCAAAGAATTTTATACTGGGAAAAGCTTAGATGATCTAATATGGGTCATTCTTTATAAAGATAAAATTACTAAGATGCAAAGGGTTTCACATGTGTATTTATGGATTAATCGCACCTAAAATCAAGGTATCTGAAGTTCTGGTCTAATGTTTTCCACACTTTGGGCTCTGTCCTGTAAAAATTCTCTACGTGACTTCCAGTCCTATTTTGATTCCACGTTAATATCTGGCCTCTTTTACAGTGCTTGCATTTTCTCACCTTCATCCTTTGCACAGCTTCCAGTGCCACTGAAAGTCACAGTTCCATACCTGTGAAGATTGTAATAGAATAAAGCTTAGTGGGTGGAGAATCAGGAAATCTGACAGAGCTTAGCATCCCTGTCCTGGGGATGCTAAGAGAGAGAGAGAGAGAAAGACCCTATTCAACAGTTTCTGCCTCTAGGGACTATGTCTTGTTACTCTGTATATCCCAATGCCTGGCATGATCTGTATCCTGGAAATATTTTCAGTGCTTGGGTAGTAAATCAACCTTCATCTTCTCAATCCTATATTCTGTATTATCCACCGTAGGCATGATCTGTAAAATAGTTTTCAATACTTGAGTAGCAAATCAACCTTCATCTTCTCAATCCTATATTCTGTATTATCCACCGTAGGAGCATTCCTTCTCATTTGAAACAACTCTGTCATAATGTTTTTTATGCCTTATAACTTCTACTTCCTTTTGATATCGTTACACAAATAGCCGTGACTGCCTCTATGTTTATTCAGCTTGTTTTCTTCCATAACTTGTGCAGTGGAAAATCCTGTAGCCCTTGAACTTGCCCATTTTAGTCCCAGTCATTTTAAATTCATATCCTGTCTTCACAGTGCTGACTATTCCTGGTGCAAGACAAGAACTACTGCTCTGTAAACTTTGGGATCCAGATATTGCTTTCACAACTAATGCTTTAATCCCGTTGTATAAAGGCGGTCCTCCAGAATAACAGAACCAGTAAGATGTGTATTTATATAAGAAGAGATTTATTATAAGGAATTGGCTCCCAGTTATGGGGGCTGTCATCTCCAGAACCTACTGTGAGCGGGTCACCAGGAGAGCAGATGTTTTGGTTCCCAGACTTAAGGTTGCTGCAGGAGAATTGTCTCGTGGTCAAAGGATCTTTGTTTTCCTTCATGCCTTCAACTGATTGGAAGAGGCTCACCCACATTCTGGAAAGCAAGCTTTTTATTCAGAGTTCACCAACTTCAAATAAAATCCTCATTCAAAAACAATTTCACAGAAACACAGGGTGATGGCTGGCCATGTCCACCCGGTGACCCAAGGTGACACATAAAATTAATCATCACACCCATTCTTACTGATTTCTGGGGTGAGGTTTAATCACTGGATCTAATTTCATTTTTTCTATATTAACAACCACTTGGCCTCGCTCTGTTAGTTTAGATCATCTCTCCTTTCTAGTCATCAAGCCTCCTCCATGATAAATCAGTTGTCTACACACGTGTAGGTCTGTTTCTGGATCTCCTTCAGTTGTGTTGGTCCATTTACATCTAATTGCATCTGCACTACCCTGAGTGAGCGCCCCTCGCTATACTCATGCATGCCTGGCTTTTAGTGGCCATTTTCTCTTCCATATGCATTTTAGAATTTACTCATCATGTTCCAGAAAGAATCTTGTAAGCATCTTCATCCCGTGGCATTAAGTTAATCCATTTGGAGAGATCTGACAGTTTATCTTAAGAACATGGCATGTCTCTTCATTCCTTTAGGTCTTTAAAATATATTTCAATAAAAATTTACAGTTAATGCCATAAAGAGCTTCCTTGCTTTATGTTTTTGTTCCTTGCTTTATATTTTTAAATAATTGGTGGGTTATTCCTGGTTATTTCTCCCATATTGCTTTTATATCCAGTGACCTCTAAGTTGCCTTATTAATTGTACCACTTTACAGAATATTGTACATGGGCGATCATATCTAACAGTAATGACAGTTTTGTTTCTTCCTTGCCAATCTTTCTAAGTTTTTTTTTTCTTGTCTCTTACCAAGTCTTCCTAGTTATAATGCTATATTAAATAGGGGTGGTAGCACCAGACATCTTACCTAAAAGACCATGCTTTAATATTCATTGCTAAGTATGATGTTTTCTATCAGTTTTCAGTGTATTTTTTATCACATTAAAGAAATTGCCTTCTGTTCCCAAATTTTTGTTTTTGTACTAATGCTTTTATTCTAAATAGTGTTTTCTTTATCTATTATGGTGATGATCATTTTTCTCTGTAATCTGTTAATGTTGCAAATTACTTACCATTCAAATATTAAATGTATCTTGCCTTTTTTCTTCCTTTTTAAAAAATATTTATTTTTATTTATTTATGCATACAAGAACTGGGGTGCGGGCCAGAGATGCAGGAGGGCGAGAGGATTCACCAGAGACAGAGTGGGCAGCAGAACAGGCAGAAGGGAGCAGCAGGCAAGAAAGGAGAGGTCTGTTGCGCCATGTGGGGCACCCCTCTTGCTGGGGATCGAACAGCCCCACAGTGCCACGTCTTAACCCCCTGCACCACCAGGGAGGCCCCAGAAATGTCATTTTTTATGAATAACTTTTTTTTGCTTATGGGTTTCTTAATGTTTTAAGTAGGATCTTTCCATCTGTATTTGTGATGAGTTGTTAGCCACATAAAATAAAATAGGAAGGATTCCTTCTTTTTTCTATGCTCTGGAAGGGATTTCTTAGTGTAGAATATATCTGTTTATTCAAAGATGGGAAAAATTCACTTGTGACACTATCTGGCCCTGTTGCTTATTGATGAGGGATAGATTTTAACTGCAAACTTAAATTAAGTCTGTAGAACTACTTAGACTTTCTTACGTAAAGTGTAATAATAAAAGTGGCCACCATGAACTCCTGTTTTTAAATAAATGGATGCAAAGTTAGCCATAGTATCCTGTTCATTCTACAGCATAATTCTGTCTTCCTTTCTCTTTTTCCTAATGTTCAGAGGGCTGCCACTTCTCTTAATACTTTGAAGAACCAACTTTTGGGTTTGTTAATTCTCTCAACTTTTTGGCATTTGCTTACGACTCATTCTTCCTGCATTTGCCTAATTTGGTTTTCTGCAAAACTTTGCACAGGTGTAAACTGTAAACTCAGTGATGCTTCCTGCGTTTTTTGCGTGGTTTTTTTTTTTAGTCTAACATATAGATCGAACAGTTGACACAGTGCCTTCGTGCTACTGCTGGAATAACTCACCTGAAAATGTTTTCTGATGTTCCCGGACTCTCAAAAAGCAACTCTGTAACTTTGCCACAGATTCTAATATTTTTTCGAGGCCTGTTCACTGAGAGAGTAAGTCACCTTGGCCTCAGTGATCAAATGTTCTGTAGTGTTTCTCACTGAATGGTAATGTAGACAAGGCCCCGAGGGGCAGGGGACTGGCGCTGAGCTGGGGTTTCAGCCTCCTGCTGTGTCCAAGGCCCCGTTCTCCTTTGCTGTGTAACCTTGGGCAAGACATCTGCCTCCTCCCAGCTTCAGTTTCCTCATCTGCTGCCAACCCATCGTTTGTTGAGAAACGAGGCCCAGAAAGTACAGTTAAGTCCTCGCTTAATGTCGTTGAGAGGTTCTTGGAAACATCTACTTTACGTGAATCGTGAAAGGATAATGAGAGCAGGTCCACGAATAATGTCATTTTGACAACGTCATCTGGGATTATTTTTCTCATGAACATTCGAGCGAAATATTATTCGAGGACCTGCTAGCATTGCGATTTCTTAAAATGATTTAGAACTTACCCAGAAATGACGATGCACTCTAAATCACGCTTTAATCCGCGCTCTCTGCTCGCGTGATAGGAAGCGGTACTGGCTCGGGTTGGAATTGTCTGGGGAGTTTTTAAACTGATGTTGGGTCCCCCTCCCAGAAATCCTGCTTTAACTGGTCCAGGTGCAGCCTCAGCGTTCTTTAAAAACTTCCCCAAGACTTTGTGTTCAGCCAGGGCTTCCAGTTATTGGTTTAAAAGCACAAAATGTGCTATTAAATGTACATTCCCCAAAAGTGACTATGATTTGTTTTGCTTTCAGATCTTTATCAATTAGAGTAAGCATTTTAATGGGATTTTTTCTTAGTTTTTGTGTTTTCTTATCCTAGGTAACTGCTGGCGTCCCTCTTAAGAAAGAATACACTGAGGAGGTAAGAGCTGTTTTTAAAGAACCATTCCAATGTAGTTATCCAGGGCCTGGCTGTTCAAACTCAGTAGGTGAATCCTCCGGCAACCTCCTCTTAAACTGCTTTTCTGATAATCCAAAAGGAGGGGTGGAGCCAAAAATAAAACCCATCATTTCACCATCAATCCTAAGAAATGATGGGTTTTATCTACCCATCATCTACCCATGGCTTTCCCTACCCTTCCCTGTCCTGTTGACAGTCACCAGAGCAGGAGCTAAGGGTCTCCAGCACAGAAACAAATGTGAAGCTTATGCCCACGTGTTCTAATAAGGTGGGAAAACTGACTTTTGGAGGATTTGCAATTGGCTTTATGACTCTTGTCAAGAGTCTTTGATGTCGGGCCTCCCTGGTGGTGCAGCGGTTGAGCGCTGGGTTCGATCCCCTGCCGCTGGATGGGGTCCCACATGGTGCGCAGACCTCTCCTGCCGCCCGCTGCTCCCCTCAGCAGTGTACTTCGGTCCTTCTGCCTGCTCCTGCTGCTCCCCTCAGCATTGTATTTCGTCAGTCTGCCTGTTCTGTTCCCCGCTCTGGCTCTGGTGAATTCTCTCACCCTCCCGCGCTTCTGACTGTACCCAGTGCTTGTAGAAATAAATAAAATAAATCTTTAAAAAAAAAGTCTTTGATGTCCTAGCAGCAGTACCCCGTGGCTCCTACAGGTGGCGCCAGGGGTTTGAGCGGGGAGGAGCTGGCCCTCCTGGGGCTGTGCCCACCGAGCTTGTGTCCTGCGCACCCATCAACAGCAGCAACAGCGACCTGGCTCCTGACCCAAATATCATGCCTTTGCACCCAGAATAATTTTAGAAATTATTATGAACATAAGCCTCCTCCTTCAGCAGCCATCTTTTCCTGGACCCCAAAAACAAACTAACAACAACCAAAAAAAGGTGTATGTTTTTCATTCAGCTGCTAGGGCAATAAAGTGAGCAGAGATGGAAACCAAACCTACCGGGGTGTGGGGGTGATGCCTGAGGCTCTGGTTTTCTTACAGAACATCCCACTGGTGGCAGACGGCTGCTGTAACCTCCAGAAGCAAATCCAGATCGCCCAGCTCTTTGGGGTTCCCGTGGTCGTGGCCATAAATGTCTTCAAGTAAGTCAGACCTCCTGACTCCAGCGTGGTCTGGTCGCTGGGCCACCCTGTGAACTGTGTTTGTGTCTCGGGGATGTTTGGTGTTTGTGCTTCGAGAGTACACAGCAGGCTCTCTCCCGTGGGCTGGGTGTGGCTGGGGTGGTTTTGTTCTAGCAGAAGGCTCTCAGATGTGATTAGGGAAATGATATCTAGTGAGTTACCATCTCTTTTGGATTTTTTTCTTTTTAATTCTCCCAGCATTTCTGTCTGAAAGACTATGCATGATCAAAGGGATATGTTATGGAATTTTCCCGATAAAACCCTTCACAGCTTCCACTACTGCAGTCGGGCTGGAGAGGATTTATTTTTCCCACGCTTGTCTTTAAGTTTGAGTTATTTAAACACCATGTAACCGCTTTTGATGTTTAAAATATATTCAGCGTTAGGGAGCAAAGTTCTGCATAAACGGTTAGTGTTTCTCTTTAAACACGGCTAAATGAACACAGATGCAAAACCACAAACATTTCCATCGCCAGGACGGACACCCCGGCTGAGATCGACTTGGTGTGTGAGCTGGCGAAGCGGGCGGGCGCCTTCGACGCCGTCCCCTGCTACCACTGGTCCAAGGGCGGGAAGGGGTCGGTGGACCTGGCGTGGGCTGTGAGAGAGGCTGCGAATAAAGGAAATCGCTTCCAGTTCCTGTACGACGTGGAGGTAAGAGCCGGCCGCTGTGATCATGTGAGCGACCATCCTGCACTTTCACTAAGTGCCAGGCCCGGGCTGAGCACGCTGCCGGGTGCCCACACGCCTTCCCGCACATGAGGAGACTGGAGGTGACAGGTCGCATTGCCAAGGACAGACCCAGCCCCTTGGTCCCAGGCCTGTGCTCTTGCAGGCTGTGTCCGCCTCCAGATGACGGGCCTCGGGGGGACGGGCTTGGACAACCGGTCTCAGCAGCTCACACTTGCTGGGTTTGTGCAGGAGCGAGATTTCCAGCAACTTCACAGGCAGATGAAACCAGCAGGCAGTGTTTCCCTTGTGCGTTGCTACTATAGCTCTTTCTCCTCATTGTGGTCAAATTTTTTGTACACACAGCATAACACTTACACCATCTTTACAGTTTTTGAGGTGACGATCCCCCAGCCCACCGATTGCCCATTGCCGAGGCTCTCCCCATCAAACACTGGTCGTTTCCCCCCCCCCCCCCGTATTTGTCAGTTTGTGGCCAGCCTGTTCACTGGGCCTGGAATGTTAGTGTCTCAACCATTCCCGCTGCCCTAACCGAGTACCACAGACGGGTGGCTGATCAGCCACAGGAACTTCTCACAGTTTTGGAGGAGAGACGTCCAAGATAGAGGCACTGACTGCCCGGGGTCTGCTGGACTCGCTGCCCGGCTCCTGGACGGTCATCCCGCCCCTGCACCTCACTCTGCAGAAGAGGCACAGTCTCTCTCCAGGGTCTCTTTTTTTTTTTAATATTTTATTTTATATAATTCTTCCATCATTTTTCATTTTTGCACAATGTATGCATTTTCATTTTGGGTGTATTCCCCATACAACTGCGCACACACCCACCCCCCCCCCCATTTTGACCCTAGTCCTTCCTCTCCCCGCCCCTCCCCTGGGGTCTCTTTTATAAGGGCCATAGTCCCCTTCACGAGGGCTCTGCCCTCCTGACCTGATTATGCCAGAGGCCCCCCCCCACTCCGAATGCCATCACGTTGGGGGGAGGCTTCAACTTAGGAGTAGGGAGACAAGTCCCCAACCTACAGCGTCACTTAGGACAGCATCCTCCATGACCACAGAGGGCACAGAGGTCCCTGCCTGTGCCCGATTCCTTTTCTGAGGCTGAAGAACATCCCAGCGTACCTGTTTACGATATGTGGTTCATGTGTTCATCTCCTGGTGGCCACTTGGCCGCTTCTGTCTCTTGGCTGTGAGAAGTAACGCTGCCATGGACACGTGTGCCAGAGTCTCTTCCAGGCTGCTTTCAGTCCTCTGGGTGGATCCAGAAGTGGGGTTGCCAGGTTTTTTCTGGTATATTCTAAACGTATCTGAGTAGGAGCCTTTAGTCTGAGCCCCCCAGCTTTCTCCTCTCCTCAAGGCATGCTGACACCCCCTAAATGTGTCCCCTCTGAGTTTTGGGGTTCGAACTCTGGTGCTGGGTTTGCCCTCCCAGGAGCCCATGCTGACCAGCACTCACTCAGCCTTCAGGCCGAGAGCCCCACAGCCTCGTGCTCTGTGATGCGTTGCTCTGGTTGCTCTGGGCAACTTTCAGCGCAAGATCGGGGCATCTGGGATCCAGGGAAGAGGCGGCGCTGGCAGGAAGTTTGGGACAGCGGCGGTCCCCACGGGCCTCGCTCTTCAGCCCTTAGTGCTGAGTTCCGGGTTGTGGGGGTGCCGTAGAAAGGGGCGGCCACCGAGTGACCCTGCTGGTGAGGGAGCACAGTGGCACGGACACAGAATCCAGCCAAATGAGGGGCATGGGGGCTAATGATTGGGAAAGGCCTTCAGCCATGACTCGGAACAGTTATCCCAGAAAGGGTTCATCCTGCTGAAAGCCCCTCTGAAGAATGAGAAATAGAATGTTCTGGGTTACAGAAGAGGTTGTCAGTACAGAAAGGAGACTTGTGACTCTCCAACAGAGAAAATGTTCTAAGTGGAAGCTCTGCGTTCTCTGCCCCTGCAGATGTTGAGCAGAAGACAGATGAGCAGGTCAGGGGTAGACCCAAGTCGAGGCAGCTGGCCAAGGTCACCGTGTCCTTCCTGCCCCTGGCTGCCCAGGGTGCCCGGCCACAGCCCTGTCGGGCAACTCCTGCCGCCCCACGCTGAACCACCCTCTCTGAATAGCAAAGGCGGTTTTTTGAATGAGCAATTTCACTCAGTGTGGCTGTTTGCGAGGAAACCATCCCCGGTGAATAGGTCAGCAAGTGGAAAAAATATTTCTGAATTGTGCTGTCTCACACTAACCCTGAGATGAACCCTTTTTCTTGCTACCAGCAATTTAATTTTTTTCTCTGAATTCTCATGCTCCATGGATATAATACTGTGAAATATCTGCTCTCCATACAAAGGCGAAGATTGTAGAATATCCTGCTCTAAAGTCTTATATCTGCTAGGATTCTTCTTGCCTCCTTTACCTCCACATTTCTCTTGCTTTTCTCACAACACAGACGTGACATCCCACCCCGTTTACCCGGTGGTCAGCATCACAGCCTGTGGCTACGGCTGCCCTGGCCCCTTGGGCCCCTCCCGCATTGCTGGGAGAGAGTTTGCACAGACCCTTCACAGACGCCCTGGGGCCGCGCGGGAGTCTGAACCTATTGGTGTTCTCAGTAGCACTGCTCAGATTTTTTTCTCCCCATTTCTTGCCTCTTGGGTGGACTGTGTTACTAGAAGTCCACCTTCTCCCCCCGCCCCCCGACCATGGCTAACCCGTCAGTAGATAGGTTGGCGGGTAGCTAGATGTGCGATTGCTCTATGGGGGAAAATGCCATGAGGTGCTTTGGGGTGAATCCCCTCCCGCCCTTTGCCAGCACGGGACGTGTTCAGCTCAGGGTTGATGGCATCTTTATTTTCTGCCTCACTCCTCCCCGGTCCTGTGTCTGTACCAAAGAAAGATCCCTGGGATGGTGCATTGGGAATCAGGTAGGAGCGCAAGCTGTGGTGGTTTTTTCCTTCTTTTCTTGGGAGGGGTGGGGAGTGGCTGTTAGAAATCATCCCAAAACCCCAGAGGGAAGAACAGCCAGAGAAAAGTAAAAGCTCCCGAGAGGCCCGAAAGCCCGCAGGGTCAAGGCTTTCTGACAAGAAATAAGCTGAGCTTCTGAGCTGGGAGTCTGCTGGACGTTGGATTAAGTCGAGGTCAGCAGTGACTGTTCTCTTCCAAGCAGCTCTGAGCCTCCTATAGCAGAGCAGCTTCTAGTTCAAGACAGGCAGCTCTCAATATGGTGAGAGGGTTTCTGCAAGGAATCTAGAATAGATGGAGTGGCCCTGCCCTCAAAAGAGATTTATTGTGACAATATATTTAAACCAGAAAGTGCATCATTTCCTCTCCACCCTTTGGGTGATTTCGGTCCCCTTTAAGAAGCTGTTAAGTCTCCACTTCCTCCATCATCTTCTCTCTGACTTTTCCTTTTCTAATTTCACTTTCAACAATCATATCTTTATAGCTGACTGTGTGTCTCCACATCCGCAAGCACACAGGAAAATGCATAGGTGGGAAAAAGTCATCTGTATTTCCATTTCAGTAGCTCACAAATCCCTCGCCTGTACATATTTTCAGGCGTTCCTCACCCCAGCCCACAGCACCTGGGCTCAGCTCTTACAGGTGCAGAACCAGAAGCACAGAGCAGGTGAGGGGTTCACGCCACAGCAGATGGACACTTGGTAGGAGAAGCAACAGGTCATAGTTATAAAGGGTTAAAACATCAGGGTCATGCAGAACAGTTCAAATCTTTTTTTAAAGATTTATTTATTTATGTATACAAGAACGGGGGTATAGGCCAGAAGAGAGGATTCACCAGAGACAGAGTGGGGAGCAGAGTAGGAAGATCCAGGTGAGGGGAGCAGCGGGTGAGACAGGAGAGGTCTGCTGTGCCATGTGGGTTGCTCCCTGGCTGGGGATCGAACTCCTGCCACAGTGGCTAGTGATAGATTGATAGAGCTGAGATTTAACCCCCGCACCACCAGGGAGGCCCTGAGTTCAAATCTTGAGGGAGATTCCTACTCCAAATTAAAATGTGGGCAAGTCAGCTCATTTCTCTGAGCCTCGGGTTCCTTATCTATAAAATTGGCAGGACAATTTATTTATTAACGCCAATTTCACCTACTTGCCCTGAGCACCAAATGAACTGCCTCAGGTTCAGGAACCTGGCCATCACTGTGAGCGCTGCCTAGTTCACTAGGGGCGAGAGAATTTACTTCCCCAATTCACCTTCAGGAACTGTCTTGTGTCGTCATTTTGTTATACGCTGGGTGAGTCTTATCAAGTGGGCTAAAAGTTGGAGCTAGAAGAACAAGGCCAAGGCTTCCAGTAGGCCCGGAAGGGAAGACACCACCAACTCAATCCACACGTAGGCATTCCTTACCCTGTAGAGTTGGGCACTTGGTGATGTAATAAAAAGCTTTTGCAAAGGATGCGCCGCACCGAAAGTCAGCTTGCAAGTCCGCTCGAAAAATCCAGAGTCTAAATATTGCCTGTTAAATCAGGAGTTAAGGCTGACAAACACCTCCCTAGCCTGCCTCTGGCCTTGTAAACGTTTCGAGATGTAACCTTGACAGCAAGACAGGGGAGTGTTTGTTTTTATTAAAAGGTCTTTCCTGTTCTTGTGTGAAGCCGTCTTCTTGATCACTGCGGGAGCTGGATGAAGGCAGATCTGAGCAGGCCAGGAAGCTCGGGCCGGGGCCCCGCCGGCACTGCTGGCTTCTGAACGCTGGCACTTTCACTGCCCGTGTTTTCAGGAGTGTCTTCCCCGCTGGTCTTTTCAAGACTGGGCAATTTTTCTGTTGTCGTTAGCTGTTGAGGAATTACCTCTTAAAGATTCAAACTTCAACAGATGCCAGTTGTTGGTGAGGCTTTGACAATTACCCTTTCCTGGGACGCCAAGTATTTACAACCAGAATCTCAAATTTTAAACAAACAAATACAAATGCAAAGGTGTAAATATTTATATGTAGATAATAGATGGTGTTTTTTTTTTAAATGGTGGTTAAAA